CATGATTCCCCATAGTGATTCAATTAACAACCAGCACAACTAATGACCAGTACAATATACAACTGGAGTTGCAGGCTCATTAACGGCCATAAGTCAAGGACTATCTGTGTAACCTCTCACCAATTTTCCTTTACAAAGTGTTCCAGTAAAGCGATTCTTTGCATGATTCATCCAATCAACCAACAAAATGTAATTGTAGTAAATATTTATACAGTTATTTCAAGTCATCCAATTCATTTCACATACACCAAGTCCAGTAATCCATATAGTGGTGTTCGATCACACCAAGCACAACTTGAAACGTAACGATGGGGTCTTTTTTTAGTACAATTCCGGGAAAACAATATAAAAAATAAATGCAATACAAAAAACTAGGTATAAAAACAATATAAATTACCATATAACACAGTCCTGTAGGGGAAAGAGTAGCAGACCCTGGGAAAAGAGTTAAAAGAGGAATCCGCCTAGAATCCCTCTGTAGACACGAGTGAGCTCAGTCCAACCTCCCTTGAATTCTATGGGGACCCTTATTTAATTCCTAGCAGGTGCTATTAGTTGAGAAGATTCCTGTACATAGGCTGTTTAGCAATAAATCAATTTAATTGGATATCACCTGTGGATATCATCTTTTAGTGCCAGACAATCCATAGCCAAAGTGTACCAAACCTGTAATTGTGCAATTTGATGTTGTTAAGCACACACACACACCCCGAGACTTTTGGAGTGGAAGGCCATAATAACACCCTTTAAATAAATATCAACAGCACCTAGACTTATAAACCCCTTCGTAGTGCTTTAGAGTTCTCTCTAAGTGGTCTACAGAGTCAGCATATTGCCCCCAGCAATCTGGCTCCTCATTTTACCAACCTCGAAAGGACAGAAGGCCTGAGTCAACCTTGAGCCAATCAGGATCGAACTCTTGACAGCGGGCAGTCAGCCTGCAATACTGCATTCTAAACACTGCGCCACCACACAGAAGAAACACTGTTAATTTTATTGAACACCATCAAACAACCATATCTGCGTATCCTTGGGGATAGGTGGACAAAAATGCCCAAATCCGGTCTAAATATCTGATTATGTGACCAACTACAATAATATGCTGGTTGGCGGATTCTGAGAGTTGAGTCCATATGTCCCACAATTGCTACGTTTGAAAAACACCGATCTAAGCTAAGCCCTATTCTCATTTTTTTTTATCTGTAAGCCCAGCCCAGAGTGAAAATAAAGAATGAAGTTGGGTCTTTTCTGTTTTCCAAACAACCATTCCAGGTTCACACAGATAAGAAGACATCTGATAGTCTGTATCAGAACATGGCTTATTATTCCAGTAGAAGAGGATATTTGTAGCTCAGGGTTGAAATGGGGGCGGTCCTTGGTGCTCTCTGAGCTTGGTTGTTTTCTTGCAGACGTTTCATCACCCGAACTATGTAACATCATCAGTGTACATGAGTAAAAAAGCAAACAAACAATCAAGCGGAAAATTAGACCCCCACCAACACTGGCAGGACAGGCTCCTGTATATGAACAGGCACTAAATCCGACACTCACTAGCACTGATGGTCTTCCTTAGGTGGGTAGTGAAATGTCTGCAAGCAAACAGCCAAGCTCAGAGAGCACCAAGGATTCCTCAGAGCTTCATGTCTTTGATATTAGGAGGATGGACAGAAGATTCAAAATTTGGATTTATTTATTTATTTTTGAAAAAACACCCCTTGAGATGCCAAGTATTTTTATTGCTTAAAAAACAAAACAAAACCTCAACCGTACTTTGAATATGTCAGCGAAAGGAAACGGTTGCTGAGACAGGGAGGGAGGAAGAGGAAGGGAGAGAGAGAAAGGAGGAGGGAGGGAGAAAGAGAGAGGGAAGGAGGTAGTAAGATGGAACGAGAAAGAGAAGGAGGGAAAGAGAGGAAGAGAGAGAGGGGGGGAGGGAGAGGGAGAGAAAGAGAGCAAGAGGGAGCAAGGGAGAGAGGGAAAGAAAAAGAGAGTAGGAAAAAGAAGGAGGAAAAGAGAGAGGGATGGAGAGGAAGAGAAAGATAGGTAGTGGGTGGGAAGATGGGGAGAGAAAATGGGAGGGAGAGAGAGAGAGAGAAAGAGGAAGAGGGAAGGAGAGAAGAGGGGGAGAGAGAAGAAAAGAGAGGGAGAGTAAGAAGGAGAAAAGAGGGAGAGAGGAGAAGAGAAGGGAGCGTGGGAGAGATTGAGATTTCTATAAAAATAGCAGGTAATAAACCAAATAGACAGACTTGCCTCATTCCCTCCAGGAAGCCTGTTCATCTGTACCAACTGGCCTTGGTCATCCAGGACAAGCTCCGTATATGTCAGCAAATCAGAAGGCAAAGGAGGAGCAGGAAGAATCGCAAATTCCTTCATAAAGTCCCATAATTTGATCAAAGACTATAAGAATCAGAAAGGGGGGGGGGTGATTATTTTTTAGCCTTTTCGTTCTTTTTTCGAAACATGCTGATCTTTGGGGCTTGGTGGACATGTAACAAGAAACTAAGATCCTGTGTGCTGAACTTGGGATAAAATCAAACATGTGTTGCATATCGTGGTTTGTTTTCTATCAACCTAGATTAAAGTAGAAAGCACGAACTAAAAAAAGTCTTTGGGGGGGCCACGGGTAGCCTCTCCTCCGAAACCTGCTGCTGTGTTTCGTAATTGAAGAAGCTTCTTGGATGAGAAGCGAAACGTCTTCAAAGAAAAAACAAAACAGAAAGTCCAGTTGCCTCTTGAAAAAAGCACCTTTGGGACACCTTCCATAGTCCTTACCTGCCGAAACATTTCAGGAATATCATACACGTAGGTTGTTCCCAGGGATTGGGCCTGGAATCTCTTCGACTGGAGTAAGTCCTTTGTTACATACGGAGTATTGATCAGCATCCCGTGTAGGGGCCCTTGCTTATCGCCATAAGCCTGGAACATAATCTAAAAAGAAGAGAATGTACATCCAGGATTAAATCAAATCGTCGTGATGATTTTATTAAATCCTTCAATCTCGATTCAGATATGGTCTACGTCCAGAAAGGCTTTTGACAAGCTTTAAGCCTTCGGTTAGCCGAGAATCCTGGAAATTGTATTCCAACAGATCAGGAAAGCAGCTAAGAGACAATATAGGTAGTCCTCAATTTACAACTTGGCCCAGAATTTCCACTGAAAAGCTAAGTGAGTCGCACCCAATGTTATGACCTTTTTTTTTGGCAGAGTTGTTAAGCAATTTCCTGCAGTTGCCAAGTGAATCATGTGGTTGTTAAGCAAATCTAGCTTCCCACATTGACTTTGTGTTTGTCAGAAGCCAGCTGGGAAGGTCATAAATAGCAATCATATGATCCTGGGATGCTACAACACAGTAAATACAAGTCAGTTGCCCTGGGGCTGCTGTGACAGTCATATCCATGGGGATGCTGCAAAGGATCGGCTGTCATTTCATCATTTTTATCATCTTTTAAGCCACCAGGCATTGCTTCAAAGGGGAACGGGTGGCATATGAATTTAATATATAAATAAGGCACTTTTTTTCCAGTCCTTCCAAATAATCACTAAACGAATGACTGCAGCTTTTAAGTCCTCGACTTAACCACAACTGAGCCCATCATTTATGTTGACAGGTGAGAAATTTGTTAAGTGGGTTTTGCCCCATTTTACAACTTTTCTCGCCACATTTTGTCAAGTGAATCACTGCAGTTGTTAAATAAGTAAGACGGTCGTTAAGGGAATCTGGTTTTCCCATGGACTTTGTTCATCAGACGGTTACAAAAGGGGATCGCTTGACCCCGGCACACTGCAACCGTCATAAATTGAGTCAGATGCCAAGCATCTAAATGTCAATCATGTACGGTCACAAGTGAGAAAAATGGTCATAAGTTATGTTTTTCAATGCTGTTTGCAACTTCGAACAGTCGCTAAGCAAACTGTTGTAAGTCGAGGACTACCCTTGAACAATTGAGCCCCAAATTTCCACCTGCTAAGCAAGACAGTGGTTAAGTGAGTCTTGCCCCATTTTACGACCTTTCTTGCCACCGTTGTTAAGTGAATCCCTGCTGTTGCTAAGTTAGTAATACGGTTATTAAGTGAATCTGGCTTCCCCCATTGACTCAGCTTATCAGAAGGTTGTAAAAGAGAATTGCTTGATCCCAGGACACCGCAACCATCATAAATATGAGTCAGTTGCCAAGCGTCTGAATTTTGATCATGTGACCATGGGGATGCTACGACTGTTGTATGAAAAAATGGTCCTAAATTATGTTTTTCAGCACCTTCAAACAGTCATGAACAAATGGTTGTAAGTCTAGTACTATTATATTGAAACAGGAGCTAAGGATCAGAGATGAGGAGGCCATAAGCCAAAGAGAAACAGTTTTCCAATGAAAATCCTGCATTAAGTGAAATCTATAAGAACAAGGAGCTTATAGTGGACTATAGAAGGAACGGATCACACATCCAGCCCTTTCTTATCAATGGAGACTGAGAGGAGCAAGTGGCCAGTTTTAAGTTTCTGGGTGTTACCCTAAAAGAGGAACTGACCTGGGGTGCTCATATTGCAGCCCTGGTCAAAAGGGCCCAGCAGAGATTATACTACCTGAGACTTCTTAGAAAACAACCACTGAATGAAAAACTGCTGGTGACCTTCTACCGCTGCACCAGAGAGAGCATCTTAACATACTGCACCTCTGTATGGTTTGCCAATTGCACAGTGGCAGATAGGAAAGCACTCCAGAGGGTTAATGTCATTGCACAGAAGATCATTGGTTGCCCTCTCCCCTCTTTGGAAGAGCTTTATAGCTCCCGCTGCCTTAAGGAAGTTCAGAACATTGTCAAAGATCCATCTCATCCTGGGCATCCTTTTTTTGAACTATTACCATCTGGCAGACAGTACAGGACAATAAAAACAAGGACAAATAGGCTGAAAAACAGCTTCTATCCCAGGGCAGTAGCTCTGTTGAATTCTACTGTATAGTGCAGTGTTGGTGTGGTGTCGGGGGGGGGGGGGTTTCAATTCAATGTGTGGAGTGTGAAGGATGTGTGTTTGTGTTTATTTTCATGGTCATGATGTGCACTGAAGATGGTATTTAATTTCGTTGCACGAGGTGCAATGACAATGAAGTAAATTAAGTAAACTAAGTTCATGTGATGGAGACATACTTGGGAAGTTCTGGAGTCCGTCACTTCTTTATACAGGCTTATGTCAAGGTAATAGCCAGACTCGTTGGTCAAGAAGAGCCGGATTGGAATAGCCTTGCCGCTGGGTGCGAGCTGAATGTTAATCTTCAGCTCAGCTTGCAAGACTCGCAGTTTCCACAGACGGCTCCCGTAGCGCATAACCATGCTCCGAACAGATTCCTCGATCTAGGGGACAAAAACAGAGTGAGTGAGACATGAGAATTTGAGGATACACCACGCAAAGCTTGCAAGGCCATTCAACCGGAAAATCAAAACCTCTCCTGGAGCTGAGGTTATAGAATAGAATGGAATGGAATGGAATGGAATGGAATGGAATGGAATGGAATGGAATAGAATAGAATAGAATAGAATAGAATAGAATAGAATAGAATAGAATAGAACAGCACAGAATAGAATAGAACAGCACAGAATAGAATAGAATAGAATAGAATAGAATAGAATAGAATAGAATAGAATAGAATAGAATAGAATAGAATAGAATAGAATAGAATAGAATAGAATCACAGAGTTGGAAGGGACCTTGGAGGTCTTCTAGTCCAACCCCCTGCTCAGGCAGGAAACCCTATACCATTTCAGACAAATAGTTATCCAATCTCTTTTTAAAAACTTCCAGTGTTGGAGCATTTGCAACTTCTGGAGGCAAGTCGTTCCACTGATTAATTGTTCTAACTGTCAGGAAATGACTCCTTAGTTCTAGGTTGCTTCTCTTCTTGATTAGTTTCCATCCATTGCTTCTTGTCCTGCCTTCAGGTGCTTTGGAGAATAGCTTGACTCCCTCTTCTTTGGGGCAGCCCCTGAGATATTGGAACACTGCTATCCTGTCTCCCCTAGTCCTTCTTTTCATCAAACTAGACATACCCAGTTCCAGCAACCGTTCTTCATATGTTTTAGCCTCCAGTCCCCTAATGGGATATGGATCACTGAATTTAAATCAAGAGTCTCTCCAACTTCAGCCAACTTTTAAGACTTCTGGACTTCAGCTCCCAGAATTCCTGAGACAGAATGGCTGGCTGAGGAATTCTGGGAGTTGAAGTCCATGTGTCTTAAAGTTGCTAAAGTTGGAGAGACCCCTGATTTAAATGACAGAGAGGCAAATTCCCATTGAACGTGAGAAGCAGCTCTCCAAGAATAAAAGCAGTTTTTGACAATGGAACCAGTGACCCAGAGAGAGATGGTGTGGTCCTTTTCACTTACGAGTGTGCAGCCAGAGGCTGTTGCAGAGGCTTTCATCTAGAATCTTGCACTAAGGTGAGGTTGTGTGAGGAAAACAAATAAACAGAAGCAGAGAAAGTATGTGTGGTCATTGAGGCAACTTTGAAGCGCTTGGTTCTCAGTAAGTTTATCAAAACTTCTATGGCAACAGTACCAGTTTCTTTTTTATTAAGACAATAATTCTTTCAGGAGAGAATATTTGTAGCTTAAGATTGAAATGAGGGGACGGACCTTAGCACTCTCTGAGCTTAGTTATTTTCTTGCACATGTTTCACTATCCACCTAGCACGGATGATGTTACTTAGCTTGGTAATGAAATGTCTGCAAGAAAACCATCAAGCTCAGAGCGCACCAAGGACCCCTCACAATAATCCTTTCTTAAAGACAGTAAAGGTAGAAGGACAGGGAAGTAAGGTTTGCTAATTATGAATATTTATGCTCAGAAAATCTGTTAGCTACGCCTATGTGTGTTTTGTTTTTTTTCTCATTTCTTGAAATGTATAAATATCAGTGCCTCCTTTTGAATTTATTATATATATCTAAAATATATAGTTTTCCCGAAAATACGACCTACCCTAAAATTAAACCCTAGCTTAATTTTTGCATGTGCGCCCAATATAAGCTCTAATTAAGATCCCGCCCACCCCAGAGTGCATGGGTAAAAATGAAGCTAGGGTAGGGATGGGGGTGAAGCCTATTTACCTTTGGACAGACCCCAACACCTGCCTTGCTGGCTCATTTCTTCTGCAGCCGGCAAGGCTGGCAAAGCTTTCCTGAAAGGCCTCTGGATCGATCCAGAGCTCTACTATCAGCTGCAGAGGCCTTCAGGAAAACCTTGCCAGTCGCAGAAGAAGTTCCTGAAGGCCTCTGACAACGAAAAGGAGGGCGGGGGCGACGCACGCAAATGAGGTTAGTCAGTGGATGACTGAAAATGAGACCTGGTGCCTTTTTTGGTGGGGGAAAAAATATAAGACAGGGTCTTTTTTTCGGGGAAACACGATACACACACACACACACACACACACACACACACACACACACTGCATTTATTATTTTGTTTTTTTTATAAACAACTTAAGGCGACAAACATATCTGCTATCCCTTCCCCCTCCTATTTTCCCCAAAGCAACAATACTCTGAAGTCAGTTGGGCTGAGAGAGTAGCCCAAAGTCACCCAGCGCCTTGCATGCCTAAGGCGGGACTAGAACGCTCAGTCTCCTGGCGATTGGCCCAAAGTCATCCAACCAGCTTTCGTGGCAAAGGCAGAACTAGAATTCAGTGTCTCCTGGTTTCTAGACTGGTGCTCTAAGCACTCAACCAAGCTGGTTTCAGAAGTCCCTCCAATCATTTGCTGGAGGAAACTTTTCCACTGCACACTGTTAAATAAATAAATACTTCAATGAGACTTGATTATTCTTTTTGGGGAGGGGGGGTGTTCCTGCATTTGGTTCCACAATTGTAACTAGGCGTCTTGATTTTCAGTGTAAGAGTGTGGGTAATTGTGTGTGTTGTGTGTTACGTGTAGAGGCAGAAGAGGGAATGGGAGAATGTGTTGCCTTGGGAGGATTTCGTACCAATCCATTTCCCCGTTCACCCAATCCTTTGATACGTTAATGGGGAGAGAAACATTAATGGCAAAATTGCATCTGCAAAAAACAGCCCTCGTGCCCTGTGTTTCGCTGCTGCTGGAGCACCTTAAATCAACACGAGGATTACCGCTCGGAGGCAGGTTATTCTGCCATTTTATTAAACTTTCAAAATATACTGCTGTTTGGTAAATAGTGCATATTAAAAAAACAAGGCAGTTGGAAGGCAGAGCTTGTGTTCTCTCAGAAAGTCAGAGGTGGCCTCTGTTCCCAAGGACCTTCTAAAGAAACTCTTTCCGCAGCATCGAGAAAGTGGCAAATCCAATTGGAAGTGCAATTGTTAGATTATTTATTTGTTTGTTTTGTTTGTTTGTTTGTTTATTTATTTATTTTACTAGCTGGATACCCGTGCTTCGCTACAAAACTATGTGGTTGGGCTTAGTTTTTGGGGAGGAAAATAAGGGGGTGGGGGAATTCTGCCTCTGCCTACCAGCATCCATCAGTATTCATCTGGCTAGCGCTTGTCAGTGTGTGAGAGAGTTGAGGCCTGTTTGGAAACTGAAACAGTATTTGCTATGTGAGGAAGGAGGAGACAGCAAGGAGCCTGGGCATGGCTTAGTTCAACTGTTCTGTACCAAAGCTGGTTGGTGCTGTGAAACTAAAACGGAAACTCAGGTAGGGAGGGGGAGTAGAACTCCTTAGTATCAGAGCGTGTTAATAATAATATACGAAGTACTAATGCTCTGATGATGATTTCAAAAAATCCTCTCTTATGAGCACCTAGAAGCCAAGAGGAACATACGTGCCAAATTTCAAGTTTGTAGGCTTTACAGTTGTAGAGATTTTGTGATGATGTGTGAGTGGTATTTTGCTTTTATATATATATAGATTTATTGGGGAGGGTGAGTCCCACTTTTCACATGAAAAGGCTCCCTACAACCCAGATAATGAATTTTGTTAAAATAAACCAGTTTCTCAGCCTCTAAGAGGTACGGCACCAAAGCAAATATAAATGGTGGAATAGGAATGAAGCAGCCTCAAGCCCCCCTTCTTAAATGAAATGAATTACAGTAACAGGGCAAGAAACGAGAATGTCTCCTCTCTTCTCGTTTTCATTAGGAAGATGAAGAAAGCAAGTTTGGTCTAATGGTTAAAACACCAGGCTAGAAATTGGGAAACTGTGAATTCTAATCCTGCCTGGTGGTTCTGGGCCAATCGCCGGAAAAAATGAGTTCTAGTCCCGCCTTAGGCATGCAAGTCGGTTGGTGACTTTGGCCCAATCACAAGAAGATGTGGGTTCTAGTCCCGCCTTAGGCATGAAAGTTGGCTGGGTGACTTTGAGCCAATCATCAGAAGATTGTGAGTTCTAATCCCACCTTAGTCATGAAGGCCAGCTGGGTGACTTTGGGCCAATCACCAGGAGACTGTGAGTTCTAGTCCCTTGTTAGGCATGAAAGCCAGCTGGGTGATTTTAGGCCAATCACCAGGAGACTGTGAGTTCTAGTTCCACTTTAGTCATGAAGGCCAACTGGGTGACTTTGAGCCAATCATCAGGAGACGGTGAGTTCTAGTCCCACCTTAGGCATGAAAGTTTGACTGGGTGACTTGTTTATAAAAATAATAAAGGCAGGATATAAATAGTATTTTTTTTTTTAAAAAAAGATTCCTGCCTTGTTTTGCAGCTCTTTTGGCATAACAACTGCACTACATTTTTCGACATTGCCTAAGCAGAGAGGGCGAGGGTCAGGGACAGGAGGGCAACCTACCTTTGAAGGATCCATAATAACGGTAGGGACGAAGTTGAGGAAAATGTGGTTGCAGTCGGTGCGCACATTTGTGTTGTTGAAAGCTACTTCCAGCTCGTCCATGGCTTCTAAAAGCAAGCGCTCCCCCTCATTCTGTAGGTATTCAAACGACGCTTCCTGGAAAAATAAACTGATAAGTTAGCAATAGCAACAGCCCGTAGACCCATGATGGCGAACCTATGGCACGCATGATGGAAGTGGCATGCAGAGCCACTTCTGCTGATACGCGAGAGGTTGCCCAGAAGAGCCCCACTGCGCATGCGTGGGCGCTGCCCACCCAACAGCTGATTGTCAGGTATCTCGTGCGCATGCGCGGGGGGGCGGGACACGCATGTTCATGCGCAGAGATACGCAGCACACGGGGAGATCACGCGTGCATGTACAGGAGGCGTGGGGGCCCTTCGCGCACTGCCTTCTGGGTGCTGGCATGCGAGCACGCACACAATTTTCAGCACAGGAGCCTAAAAAGGTTAGCCACCACTGCCTCAGACTTATGTACCGCTTCACAGTGCTTTTGCAGGCCTCTCTAAGCAGTTTACAGAGTCAGCCTATTGCCCCCAAGATCCTGAAAAATGGTCATTGATTACTATCTTTCAGTGCCATTGTCATTTCAAACAGCCACTAAATGAACTGTTGCAAGTCGAGGACTATCTGTGTTCAGTTCTATTCAGCTCCTGATCTTCTTTGGGGTTATGTGTCACTCGGAGTAGAGTTACCAAAAGTTAAGAGTCGTGGTGGCGCAGTGGTTAGAATGCAGTACTGCAGGCTACGTCCACTGACTGCCGGCTGTCTACAGTTCGGCAGTTCGATCCTGGCCGGCTCAAGGTTGACTCAGCCTTCCATCCTTCTGAGGTCGTTAAGATGAGGGCGCAGCTGGTCATTTGCATTCTTTTAGAGTCAGGAGCCATTTGTGCTTCAGTTTGAGATGCAGACAACACAGGCTCATCCCCAACAGCCTGCGCCTGTCTTCAACAAGGAAGGGACATAAGGCAGAAAGCACAATTCCACAACACGGTCCTTTCAGCAAGTTCTAAGAAGACTCCACACCCTTTTTCACTACTCAGGTGAACCTGAGGACGCAGACAGACCTCCAAGTGGCCTCAATGGCTCTCTGAAAGGATGTAAATGACCATCTGTCTTCAAGGAATATAAATCCTTCCATTCCCCACCATCCAGTCAGAGCTGAAGAAGCTTCTTGGATGAGAAGTGAAATGTCTTCAAAAGGAAAAAAAACCAAGAAAGCCCACTTGCCTCCTGAAAAAAAGCACCTTGGAAACAACTATGATCTGGATGACTGAGAATCTCCATTGATGCAAAAGGAAGGACAGAATGAAATGTGATTGACAAAAATTAAAAAATAATAATATTTTAATTAAATTAAATTATTAAACTGTCTTGCGGCCAGCTGTCACATGGCAAGTTGGCCACGCGAGTTGACCATGGTGAGTTGGCCGCCAGCAAGGCGGCTGTGGCGAGTTGCCTACCCAAGATGGTTGCGTCAAGTTGTCCCATTCCGCAGCCAGAAGGTCTTAAGATCTCTTCATTGGCTCTTTTTTAACTCAAGAAACCCTGCCGTGATGTTATCTTTCCCCCTCCCAATTCCAGGACCCATTCATAATCCCACCACAGGACCACAAATAAATGAAGCCCCACCTTAGTCACCAAGTCCGAATGGCGGATGATCGCTCGGACAAAGAATCGGTAATCGGTGACCTCCGCTCCTGCCTCAACCTTCGCTGCCCCCAGATAGAGGTGCATCTTGTGATTGGCACATGGGATGGCGGTGAGGTCAAAGTTGCGCATTCGGTTGAGCTCCAGCTGGAATGCCAGAGCCGGTTCCAAGTGGCGGTAGATTCTGTCTTCTTCGAACTGGGAAGGAAGCAAACGCATTTTACCCAACTGAGGAGAGACAACATGGCGTTCGCTGAGGTTTCTCATCCAATATTAAGCCTTCAGGAAAGAGTGGCATTAAAATAACCTAAATAAATAAATGCAGGGTCATTTATCTAGTTTACTTATCTATTTATTTACCCAAGGGGCTGCCACAAAGAAGAAGGGATCAACCTGTCCTGAAAAGCAACCAGAGGGAAATGACAAGAAAGAATGGATGGAAACTAATCAAGGAGAGAAGCTACAAGGAATTAAGGAGGAACTTCCTGACAGGGAGAACAATTAACCAGTGGAAAAGCTTGCCACCAGAAATTTTGGTTTTTTTTCATCACTGGAGGTTTTAAAGAAGAGACTGGACAGGGAGTTGAATTAGGCACCTTCTACAACTCTGTTATTCTGTTATGCAGGTGGTCCTCAACTTACGACCATTCAATTAGCAACTGTTCAAAAATATTGCTTTCACTGTCTTAATAAATACATTAATAAACATTAATAAAAAACATTAACCCTTACCTTATCCCTGGCACGGAATGTGAAGAATTTGGGGAATTCCCTCTGGAAAAGAAAGTAAAATTAATATGGGAAATTATTATTGCTCATTAATCTCATGTTGATATTTTAAAGCAATTTACACTACTCCATTTAATTTACTCCCCATTCCAAAGTAACGCTATTTACTGAAAACACTGAATAATCCCTCTCATTCTTTTTAAAGTGGATTTTTCTTTTTTAATTTTAAGATGCCCTGAAAGTTTTTTTTTTGAGCAGGAGCAAGATATAATACCAAAAGAATATAGCCAAAAGAAATCTAATCACAATATTCAGGGGGGAAATTTTAAGTCCAAAGGAGGTAAATTGCATTTCAGACGCCCAAATAGGGACTGAATTTAGCATTAACAAAGCAGTTCCATTGAGGACTAACGTTGAGTGCAGTTGGTCAGCCAGTTATGAATCCATCTGGTGATTAGGCTGTCTAACCCACATTTTTCTATCTTATCAAGTAGTAAGTTGTGGTCTACTTTATCAAATGCCTTACTGAAGTCCAAGTAAATTATATCCACAGCATTCTTCTGGTCCACTAATTTTGTCACTTTGTTGAAGAATGCAATAAGATTTGTCTGATCTGTTTTTGACAAATCCATGTTAGCTTTTGGGTATGACTTGGTTTGCCTCTAGGTGTTCATTTTATTTGCTCTTGCAAAACTGGATAAATGTAAACTGATGGGCATCTTTCAAAGGTTGGCAGAATGTTCAATACTGGCTACTGTGTGACTCTGCTTGCTCTGTAAATAATTAGATTGTTTCCCCTGTCATAGTTCCTGGCTCATCCGGATGCTCTTTAGCAGCCCTGTTTCCTTTTGAGGGGATAGCATTTACTAAACATTTAATTTAACATAAACATTTAGTTAAGACCACACGGAATACTGCACACAGTTTTAGTCACCATATAATAAAAAAGATGTTGAGACTCTGGAAAGAGTGCAGAAAAGAGGGGCTGGAGGCTAAAACTTATAAAGAATGGTTGCAGGAATTGGGTACATCTAGTCGAGTGAAAAGAAGGACTAGGGGACATAAGAACCCTGGTGGCACAGTGGTTAGAGTGCAGTATTGCAGGCTACTTCTGCTGACTGCCGGCTGACTGCAATTTGGCAGTTCAGATCTCACCAGGCTCAAGGTTGACTCCGCCGTCCATCCTTCCGAGGTGGGTAAAATGAGGACCCAGATTTTTGGGGACAATATGCTGACTCTGTAAGCCGCTTAGAGAGGGCTGCAAAGCACTATAAAGCAGTATATAAGTCAAAGAGCTACTGCTATAAGATAGCGGTGTTCCAATATCTAAGGGGTGAGTTTAACCTATTCTCCAAAGCACCTGAAAGCAGAATGAGTAGCAATGGATGGAAATTAATCAAGGAGAAAACCAACCCAATAAACTTCCTAACAGTGAGAATAATTAACCAATGGAATAGCTTGCCTCCAGAAGTTGTAGGTTCTTCAAGAGATTGGACACCCACTTGTCTGGAATGGTATAAGGTCTCCTACCTGAGCAGGGGGGGTTGGACTAGAAGACCTCCAAGGTCCCTTCCAACTCTATTATTCTGTTTATTGTATCCTAATCAAGGACCTTCTCAATGTTGGACCAGCCACCATGACTGAATCCAAAGATGAACGCCAGAAATATTTTCTAGTTCTTCATCACATTCCTAAACTTTTCCTTGTCTTTTGGCTCTTCGAATGCTGCTCAAAGTTATTCTTTTTTTTTCTTCCTTGCTGCATTTGTCAGGATACTGTCACTAAACCGATTGCTCTCCCCCCCCCCCCTCTTTTCTTTTCAGCTCTTCAGTCTAGCACTTTCAGGCAAATATCCAATTAAACGTGCGTGGGCAAATGCAAAGGGAAAGACGCAGAGGTAAACACATCCTCAGAGTTTTCATACCAAAATCCAAAAAAGGAAAAGGAAAAAAAAAGAAAAAGAAAAACCCGATTTCCTAGATGAAGGAATTATGCCCCTGCTGTGTTCTAATCAACCAACCATCATCAAGACAATCAGAATAATTCGCCTAAATTAACCAATCAAGACACCCTGCAAATTGGAGAATGCAAAAAGCTACATGAGAAAATCATCATAGCTGGTTATTATACTAATAATCGTGTTAAAAGCCTAATGAGATGAGGAAATTGGAAGCCTGCTGAAGCAACTCTCTATTACTTCAACATGCTGGGAAGTAATTATATAGACTGTAATTAAAACACAAAACCAGCCCACGCCATGGCCGCTAAGTTACAGTGATAGTCCGGTACAAGAACGAACAGGGATGGAAAACCCAAGGGGTGAACCCAGTTTCTGGAAGGGCTAAGCAATTTCTGCTTAGAGTTAGAACGGCTGAGGAGATACCTGGAGATTCCTCACATCCTGGATATAAACTGTTTCAACTCTTCTCCTTGGGATGGCGCTATAGGACATTGTGTGTCAAGACAAACTAGACCCTGGGTACAGTTTCTTCCCTTGGGTCATCACTCTGCTGCATACGTAATTCTCGCAGCTGACAAAGCACGACTACTAAGTTTTGTCTGATGTGTATGTATATTAACCCATAGACTGTGCGTGTAATATAATTTATCCTTTTATGAACTCTTATTCCCTCCTTCTACTAGCTGCACTTTTTGTATTATTATTTATTATTATTATTATTTATTTATTTATTTATTTATTTATTTATTTATTTATTTATTTATTTATTTCTGAGTGCTTCTGTACCGGAAACAAATTTGTTGTGTGTCTAATCACACTTGGCCAAATAAACGCTTCTCTTCTCTCTTCTCCTCTCCTTATTCTCTTCTTTCTTTCCCTTCTCTTTATTCTTCTCCCTTTCCTTCCCATGCTTTCCCCTTCTTCCTCTCCTCTCCTCTCCTCTTCTTTCCTCTCCTCTTCATTCCACTCCACTCCATTCCATTCTATTCCTGCACTGTTCTGCTTCTATTCTATTCTATTCTATTCTATTCTATTCTATTCTATTCTATTCTATTCTATTCTATTCTACTCTGTTCTGTTCTAATTCTAATTCTAATTCTACTGTGTTCTACTCTAATTCCACTATTCTAATACTACTCTGCTGTATTCTACTTCTAATTTTAATTCTACTCTGCTCTACTTCTGTTCTAATTCTAATTCTCTTCTCTGAAGTATAAAGTGTAGAGACTTGCTTACTAGCATAACGGCTGGCACAATAGCTTTGCTAAAAAGTCCAACCCTCATTTTCCAGAGAAACAGACCAAGAACAAAGGCATACTACATATACTGTTGAAGCAACAGTAGCCAGGAACACATTCTTCGAAATAAAATACACAAATGTGTTTGCTGCACTATCTGCAGAGAGCGTTCTTCACTGCAAATAAGGGACAGTTCCCTTCACAGGTTAGACCTTGTGATGGGTAAACCCAAGAGAAGAATGTCCTGCGGTCACCTTCACCTTCTGTGGTGTAGCATTAATATATAGGCTTGTCTAAAACCCAATACAAGTTTGAAAACAACAGATACCCAGTGAATATGTAGTGTTGGAGATGTCAGCATTCCAAGTAACAACCTCCAAATTAAAAGACTCTGAGACTGTCATCTTCTCAAAGATCCATTTTATTAGAGATGTCATATTGGCAGATATCAGGAAAAACCCGAATCTGAGATTTCCGGGTTTTCCTTAGCCCAAAGAGAATCCAAAATCCAACCCCTGCACCCAATAGTTCATCACATGGGTCCAATCATTACTTCGTTCCAACTGGAGACTATCCCCAGGCCCTCCCCTCCAGGTGCCAAATAACACGTCCTTGACTCTCTGAGAAAGGAATGTTTTTGTGGCTAATGTTCCACCGCTCCTTGAAGTCCTCCTCCCAAATTCCCAGGCAGTGAATGTGGCAGCCTCAGAAGCCTCAAAGAAAAATGGCTTCCAAGCTGACAGGAGAAGACTCCAACATTTGGTGTTGGAGAAGGTCCAACATTGGACATTGGAGAAGACTCCTGAAAATACTGTAGATAGATAGCCAAGAAGACAAACCAATGGATCATCAAACAAATCGACCCATGAGAATAGATAAGCAGACTCAAATTATCCTACTTTGGACACACTGTCTGAAGATGCAGCTCTCTGGAGAAAACTCTAATGCTGGGAAAGGTGGACGGAAAGGAAGAAGAGGCGGACCAGCTGCAAGGTGGAGGGACTCAGTTGCAGTGGCAATGGATGTATCATTGGAAGGATCACACTAGGAACTGATCATCATGGAAAAAAATCTATCTATGTGGCTAAAAATGACTCAATGGTACATAATCAACCAATAAACATTAAAGTCTACCCCACTACCAGAAACGCAATGGTAGAAGACACTGAGACATTCAATAGCAAACTGAAGCTGATGCTTGATAAGAGCAAGAAAGAAAGGATGTTGAAATAGAATAGAATAGAATAGAATAGAATAGAATAGAATAGAATAGAATAGAATAGAACAAAATAGAATAACAGAGTTGGAAGGGACTTTGGAGATCTTCTAGTCCAACCCCCTGCTCAGACAGGAAACCCTATAGCATTTCAGACAAATGGTTCTCCAATCTCTTCTTTAAAACTTCCAGTGTTGAAGAATTTTCAACTTCTGAAGGCAAGTTGTTGCACTGATTAATTGTTCTAACAGTCAGGAAATTTCTCCTTAGTTCTAAGTAGCTTTTCTCCTTGATTGGTTTCCATCCATTGCTTCTTGTCCTGCCCTTCTGTTGCTTTGGAGAATAGCTTGACTACAGAGGTGGTATTCAGCGGGTTCTGACTAGTTCTGCAGAACCGGTAGCGGAAATTTTGAGTAGTTCAGAGAGCTGGCCAATACTACTTCTGACTAGCCCTTCCCCCATCTATTCTCTGCCTCCAGAGTCCCAGCTGATTGGCTGGGTCTTCTGTTGCCCTGCACAGGAGAACGGAGCTGGAAAGCAGGTTAGTGGGGTGGGGAGGGAATGGAGATTTTGCAGTATCCTTCCCCTGCCATGCCCACCAAGCCATGCCCACCAAGCCACACCCACAGAACTGGTAGTAAAAAACTTTGAATCCCACCACTGCTTGACTTCCTCTTCTTTGTGGCAGCCCCTGAGCTATTGGAACACTGCTAACATGTCACCTTGTGCTATTAACAGGTGACTGGATTGCCAAAATGGAAGAAACAGAGAACCTGGAATTCTAGAAAAATGTGTGTTTTTAATTCAGCGAACAGTATCAGAAGCAAGCAGGCTACCTAATAGAAAAATGAAATTGGAAAAAAATGGAATCTGGTCTCTGGGACGTGCTCACACTCAGACCTTGAATTACTGGTGTCAAAACTTAGAAAATTAAAGAATTTTGCCAGCAACCTTTGACCTGGAGGACATATAGGCAGAATACAAGAGTGATGTAAAGAAGAGATTTAGCAAATCTAATTTATGAGAGAGAGAGAGAGAGAGAGAGAGAGAGAGAGAGAGAGAGAGAGAGAGAGAGAGAGAGAGAGAGAGAGAGAGAGAGAGAGAGAAAGAGAGAAAGAGAGAAAGAGAGAGAGAAAGAGAGAAAGAGAAAGAGGCAGGAAGAGATAAGAGGCAGAGGAAACAGAAGGGGAAAACATCCAAATTTCAAAGATGAAAAGATCCGAGAAGCTATCACAATAACCAGGGGAAAAGGAAGAAACACGTGGAGAACTTGAAAGATACATGTGGGATGATTTATTTCCTAAATTTGTCGTGAACATCGACTGATTTTGTAGAAGCCAGTTTTAAACATCCTTTCATGTGGAAGCATGAGGACTAGAAACCCATTTTACTTTTAGAAGACACATTATAATATAATCCACCAGAGAAACAGATCTTCTGCATGCAGAAAGTCACACATTTAATCCTGAGCACTTCTAGGCAGGGACGGAGAAACTGCCTCCCCTTCTGCCCTCAATTCCGGAACATTCTCGATATTTTAGAAACGAGTCCCAGAATTTTCAGCAAATACTCCCTAAACTGCCATTTAACATAGATAATCCTTGACTTACAACCAACTCAGCCTCCTGTTTTAAGTTACATCGGCACTGGAAAAAGTAACATATGATTGGTCCCTGTACATACAACTGTCCCAGCATTAGTCTAGTCACATGATCAAAATTCAGGTGCTTGGCAACTGGCATGTACTTATGACGATTTGCACTGTCCCAGGGCTCATGCGATTCCCCATTGTGACCTTCCAAGCCAGCTTCCAATAAGCAAAGTCAACCCCGGGGAGGGGGTGGAGCTGGATTCGCTTAACGATCACCCGATTCACTTAACAACTGCAGTGATTCATGTCAATCCTGAAGCTGACCTGACTGAAGTCATCTTGGAAGCTTCATTGTTGCCACACTGGAGCTGAGGGATAGGGAGGGGGGATTTTGAGATAGCTGGGATTGTGTAGTCAAAACAAAATACTTTCTCTTGGGAACCAAGGACACCCTCCCACCTAGTCAGAGGAAGGGTGAGCGATGCCATCAGGCAATCAATGTTCTGACCTAGGCTTCCCCAAAAAACACTAAATAGACTCTTTGTCCTGACCAAACACCTTTTATTAAACAAATGTGACTTTGTTTGCATTCACATTCAGCCAATGGCCTGGCAAACAGTATTTCAAGGGTGTAATTAGGAGCGCAAACCTTATCTATCTTGGAAAGCTGCCCGGTAAATATTTCCAAACACAGTGCTGACAAGGAAGGGCTTAGCATAGAGTCTCTAGGATGCACAGAGAGATCTTCACAATTATGAAACAAACGAACAAGTTGTTTCCTGCAAAAGCCCCCTCCCCTTTTGCTCCTCTTTTAATCCTTATGGGAGGGGCCATTCACCCTCCACCTGTGGCCTTACTCCCACGTCGAGCCTGAGTTTGTAATTGTTCTTTCCTTTTGGCAGCTCTGTTCCAGCTGCTCCCCTGCCTCACTGCTGTCCGAGCCCGAAGGCAGCTGATGACTACCAGCCTGCCCTGGTCCCATCTCTTCCTCGGATGCAGATCCCTCGTCTGAGTCTTCCTCAGCCTCCAGGACTGAGCCAGGTTCCTCCCCAACCTCCTTGCTGTCCGACTCTGCTGCCAGCTCCGCCAGCCGCCAGTGGGCCACAACAACCAGACAGTACAGTGATTGGATCATGTGACTGATTGTTTTGAGAAAGTGACAAAAATTCAATTAGGTGAAAACCACGGGAACCTCCAGCGTTGGTTTTCACCAGATCTGTGCCACTATGATATATCCAATAAAGCTATGCGTGGAGGAATCTACCTGCCTCGGAGTTTTGCTTGCTATGGGTCTATTACTTGCAACCCTGACAATTCACTTAACTACCGTGGCAAAAAAAAAAAGTGTAAAATCGGTCGCAACTTGCCTAACCACCTCTTTGTTTAGCAACGGGAATTCTCTTCCCAATTGTGATCGTTAAGCCTAGGACTACCTGTGTTGTAATGACGAGGCAGTCGAGTTGTTTGATCATGAACAACTGAATCATGATGATCTTTATTGGAGTCTATTCTTGCATTTATACACATTTTTAGTTATCCTCCATCACTGGTTAACTTTGGTTACTGCTTAACTTTCGTTACTGTTTAGCACAGTAATCCATACAATTAATTATCTCTAGTTAAAGTCTAACATATGTTTACTTCCTCTCTCTAATCCTCCTTTAGATTAGTGACTTTGTTTACCTGAGTTGTATTTGCTTGGAAACATTCTTTAGCTGAGGTTTGCCATCCGAGATTGGAATATTCCTGCAATTACAACTCTACATACCTGTATCTGGATGATGTTAGGTTGGTGAAGATTGCCAGCATCAATGCTGTATAAAACAGATTAACAGTCTGATCTTGTCTCTCTAATGTCCTTGCTAAGAAAAGGTCTATCTCTGACATAGACACTTTCTTTTGTTATTACTGTCCGGCTGTTAGCTTAGGAATTCCACAAAGCTCTTCCAAGCTGTGTGGATTTATCCACAAGCGGGTTTTTTTTTAAAAAAAAAAAACCTCTGTTTTTTTCCTCCAGTTATCCATTTTTATTCTCTTAAACTGTTTGGCTTTCTACTTTCTAAAGCCCCCTGCTTTCCATGTAAGCTGTCCATACTTTTCCAGCTTCCTGTCTTAAAGCCAATGATTGATTGCTATCTGTTATGTGCTTTCAGAGTTGCCTCTAAAAACTGGGCCATGCCAATCAACGCAGGCAAAGCAATCCATAATAAATGGAGCCAAATGTAAGGAACATTTTGGTTGCTTCTATTTGAAGAAAGAGGAAGAAAAATAGGAAGGAGGTGAGAAAAGAAGTGGCACTGGGACAGCATGACTGTAAAATGAAAAAAAAATTAACAGGTAATTCTCGACTTACAACCATTCGTTTAGTGACTGAAATTAGAACAATACTGAAAAAAGAGTTTTACAACCTTTTACCACATTTATAAATATTTGCTGCATTACCACAGTCAATGGGGAAGCCAGATTTCCCCCCAACTCCCAAGTAAAACGATTATAATATAAAATAGAAATAGAAATAAAGATCATATAGAATGGTTAATAAGATATGAATGGTATATAAAGTGAGCATGAATTTGATTTAGGTCTGTAAAAAAAGATGTAACCCGGGGCTAAGCCACTTTTCAAAAGAAGTTTTATGTTTTATGTTTTGTGTTTTGGTTAGCTATGTTTTGATTGTGAATTAATAAAACCTTGGAGGAATAAAACTAAAGGGAGAGAAATTTGGAAAAGACATGTATAAATGATAATTAAGGAGGCTTTATCTTTTTATGTCTTGTTTTATGTTTTGTATTTTGTGTGTTTATGCTTGATTGAGAATTAATAAAACCTTGATAGAAAGAAATATAATTAAATAAAAGTGAAGGGAGAAACAATGAGAAATTTGGAAAAGATATATATGTGTTTAAATGGAAATGTGATAATGTGGAATTATGCCTTAAAAAATAATGTTTTATTTGCCTTGTTAAAACTTATAAGTAATTTTTAGAAAGGAGGTTTTATACTTTGATGTCTTATGTTTTGTTTGTCTCTAAAAAATCAATAAAACTTATTTAAAAAAAAAGAAAAGAAATAAAGATCATGTGGGAATAGCGAAAGGTAAACAAAATTGGTGCAAGATAAAATAAAAGAAAGAAGAATAAAAGTAGCGATTTCCCCCAATTTTTGGGTGCAATAGAATACAAAGTACATTACAATCTCAAACTTTTTGCTATATCTATTTAGTGAGTACTAGCCATTTCTACAACAAGATTAAGCTAATCAAAACCAAAATCAAAGATTCCTTTTTTTTTTTGTTCCTGTTTTGAGCACAAACAATCTTTATACTTACGTGAAATCTTTGGTCCACCTCACAGTTGATTTGTTTTCTGAAATCCTTGCAAGCCAAAATGTAAGACGCAGAGGCATAAAGTATAAAAGGAGAGAGGGGGTGGGGGAGGGAGAGGGAGAGAGAGAGAGAGAGGCAAAACAAAACTAGCAATTAGTCCATAAATTAGAAGTGAATTAAGGAAAAAAAGAATCACAAGCGATACAATAGGGTCATCATTTTCAATTTTCAATTATTATTTTTTTAGAGATCATAATGAACAATTGCATTATTTCTCCATTGCCTAGCTGGAGACAAACAAAACAAAATCAGCTGTAAACATGATTTGATATTTTTTTTTCTTTCTTCCATTAAAATCTGTCTGATTTGCCATGCAAGCTACCGAAACAGAAAAACGGTGACTGAGGGAGATCAAGAGATCTAAATAAATACCTTTTGGGCCACTAGAAAAGTTAGTCGTCGAATTCCGTGGTCAATCAGGACAGCTTTCTGGAAAAATGGAAAGAAACATGAGGAAAGTATGTCGGGAAAACTGATCAGCAAAATGGAAAAAAAAATCTCTGTACTGTAAAGCTTTTTTTTTTACAACTATACCTGCTATTGTAAGAAATTCTATTTATAGTCCTGGAACTATAAATAGGAATTGCTTTCTAGCCTTAATCATTAGACAAAACGGGCTTTTATATATATGCAGGCCAAAGTATTTTTTTTTCCTCCAGGTTTTCATTGTAATTTTGGTCATCAACGCCAAGAAAGTTAAACAGTTAGTGTGTCCTCCTTTTCTCCATTTGTCTTCCTTTCCAAACTCTTCGTGTCCTCCTTTCCTTGTTCAGGTGTCAGTCTTTTGAGGTAAACCAGACTAGGAAACCATAGTTAGGAGCAGCTACTGCTATAAGGTAGTAGCAGAATCTTGCAAATCTGAATGCGCTTGTAGGGGTATGTGAGAATGACCTTGAGACCGAAGGCAACGGTCAGATAAGAGGCACCTGAGCCCATAAAAAAATATAGGATGTGGCAAATATCTCAGAAGCGACCATGATCAGTTTCTTGGATTGTAAATGAGCCTGTCATTTGTACTTCTGGTTTGATACAGCAAGCAAACAGGATAGGTGCATACTCCAACAGATAGTTAGGACTGCATAAAAAACAATCGCAACCAGCCTGCCTTCCACAGAGGACTTGCATATTGCATGGGTCAGAATGAGGGCTGAGAAAATATCTACAGATATCAATATGAGCCTCGGTGGCGCAGTGGTTAGAGTGATGTACTGCAAGCCACCTCTGCTGACTGCCAGCTGACCTCAATTTGGCAGTTCGAATCCTACCAGCTCAAAGTTGACTCAGCCTTCCATCCTTCTGAGGTGGGTAAAATGAGGACCCAGATTGCTGGGGGCAACATGCTATCTCTGTAAACCACTTATAGAGGACTATAAAAGCACTATGAAGCAGTATGTAAGTCTAAGTGCTGTTACTATTGCTACAGACCCCTCACATCCTGGACGTAAACTGTTTCAATTCTTCCCCTCAGGACGCCACTACAGGGCATTGCCTATTAAAACAACTAGACCCAGTTTTTCATCACTCTGCTGAAGACCTAATTCCCACAGTACTGTCTTACCCATGTGGTGTGTCTGTATTATTATTATTATCCTTCTCATGTTTTCTATTATCTTCTCTTATTGGTATCATTTATTATGATTATTATTATTTGCCCCTGCCAACTCGCCGAGAGACAACTCACTGTGGCCAACTCGCCACAGGACAATTGGGAAATTCAATGTCATTATTTAAAACAATTTAAAATTAATTTTAATTTTTGTCATTCACATTTCATTTTGTCCCTCTTTTGGCATCCTTTCTATTCCACCATTTCTTCGACATTAGTAGTTGGCCACGGTTTTAGAGTTGGCCACGGTGAGTTGGCCACCCCCTCCACCTCACCCAAAATCAGAAGTGATTAAAAAACAATAACAACAACAACCAGGCTTTGATAGGAAAGAAAAAAACAGACAAAAGCTTCATGTCCTCGGCTTCAGGATCTGATTCCTTCTTTCCAGAAGAGAAGGTTTTACTACGGTAAACGCCCTTTGAAAATAAGCATTTGCCGTGGAGGGGGGGGGGGAAAGGGGGGGGAAAATAACTTTAATAATGAGGTTGAGATTTTCCTTTTAAAAAAGAAGGTTATTGCTTTTAAAATTCCACAAGTGTCAGACAATAAGTATGTAGCAACGGGATTCTGATTACATTGTAATAATACAGGCCTCCCAGCGACTCAACAGCTATTACTGTGCTATTAGGTACCAACACCTGGAGAAAGTCTATTTCCACTGTCTGTTTCAATCACCTCCACCAGTCATTTGCAAGTATACGATCCTAATTTCTATCAAATGCACACACACACACACACAGACACGTACACACACAGAGACATGTAGGCACACGAGGAGGGTGGGTGGGAATCCTGTTGGGACATGCTGAGACTGGAAATTTATTTGGGCAATTTGGATCAAGCTATTTGATAGTTTAATGCACAACACCTTCTTTCCTCCAGACACACTTAAAACACACACACACACACGCACCCCACAAGCCTCTTCATGCAAATGAAAGAAAACCGAGCTTAGCAGTTCATTTACGGGGAAGAAATGTAAACGAGAGATTCTTGATGGTGCGGCGCGAGGGAGATCCAAGGCAGCCATTCCTTATCTACGCATCCCTGAGAGAACGCTCGCTTTGATTAAATCGCTTTGGTTCCAGGCTAGGGAATTTAAGGTTTCCCCCTTAAATGAAGTTAATATTTTTTTTTAAAAAAAAATTAATGTATGAAAACAACACGAAAATGAAACAAAAAGAGTGGGAAAGGGATGTTAACTTCATCGTTTTAATGTTTTTAATAAAACAACTGCAACAAACGGCAATAGTAATACCGGTAGCAGATTTATATACTGCTTCATAGTGGTTTACAGCCCGGTTTATAAATGTCAGCATATTGTCCCCAATAATTTGAGTCCTCATTTTATCGACCTCAGAAGGATGGAAGGCTGAGTCAACCTCAGGTCAGGATCGAACTGCTGGCAGTCGGCAGAATTAGCTTGCAATACTGCATTCCAACCCCTGCGCCACCAGGGCTTTTTATATCGCCTTTCAGAAATGCAGTAGGACATTCAATCTGCTTCCTTTTGTTCCAGTCCAATGGTAAGAAGGAAGGTCTTCATTTGTTTTTAAGTATCAGTTGTTGACAGGCAGTCCTCGACTTACAACAGTTCATTTAGTGACCATTTGAAGTTACGATGGCAGTGAAAACAGTGACTTATGAGCACTGTTCACACTTACGACCATTGCAGCCTCTCCATGGTCACATGATCAAAATTCAGACACTTGGCAACTGACTCATATTTATGACGGTTGCAGTGTCCTGGGGGTTGTGTTATGCGACCTTGTGATCAGCAAAGTCAACGGGGAAGCCCAATTCACTTAACGACCGTGTTACTAATTTAACAGCTGCAGTGATTCCCTTAATAACGGCAGCAAGAAAGATTGTAAAATAGGGCAAAATTCATTTAGCAACTGTCTCACTTAGCAATAGAAGTTTGGGGCTCAAACTGTTATCATAAGTTGAGGATTACCTGTATTTTGTCTAAACCAGGGGGGTTAAACTCAAGGCCTGGGGGGGGGGGGGGGGACCCAGCCTGGGGAGTGCTTAGAATCTGGCCTGCAGGGCCACCTTGGGAACAGCAAGAAAACCGGCCCGTGGTGCCCGCAGTGCCTCTACCAGCCAAAACAGAGCTGCACGGGGTCCTCCCGAGTTCCATTTTGGGCTGCAACAGCCTCCTGCAGCCCTCCAGCCTTTTTGCTGGCAGAAAGCTGCAGGAGGCCCTTGCAGCCGTAAGTGGAGCTTGGGAGCCTGTTTTTGCTGGCAGGAACGCTCGAGCCGCCACAGGCACCCCGACACAAGTGACATCGAGCTGGCCACACACACACACACATACACACACACACTGAAGTCAAACACCACCCTTGATGTGGCCCTCAATGAAATCGAGTTTGACACCCCTGGTCTAAACAGACCGAGAGTGCGGTCTCCAAAGAAGTCTTAATTTGTCCTGTCCTCGTGGCATGAAAAACAAGGTCAGTCTTGGCATGAAGGTGGTTTTTCTCCTGGGCAGAGTTTTTTTAAAAAATGAGAAAAGAGGCTCTACCTTTTAAGATCTAATCAGATGGCACCCTTCTTCAGTTGTGAAGTGATACTGCTGGGTGACTTCTACAATTATTTACAAATAGCTCAGACAAGAGAGCTGCTCAGCCATGTTATTATTTTCTATAGCGCTATCAGGGACCATTCCATAATAATAATAAAAATAAGAGGCCATTGTCCCAAGGAGTTGACACTTGTCCTTAAAGATAAGCAAACAGCTCCAAAGAAAAAAGAAAAAAGAAAAAAAGAGGAAGCAATGATGGATAGAATCTGCATTCCACTTCGCTAAACAAATGAAGAAAAAACAAATAACTGGAGAATGGCACCAGCTCACCTTGCCCTGCGTGAATTCCCTGAACATGGCAGCGAGACCTTCATCGTCGATATCACAATCCGTCTTAATGGCAACATTTAGGATATGGATAGGTTCATCTCGAGCACTCTGTGGTTCAAAGAAAAATCAGAAAGTGAATTGGGGGTGGGGGGAGAGAAAGAGAGAGAGAGAGAGAAAATGCAGCAATAAATCAATGGCTGCATAATGTTTGCAGGTGGAATGGGGACCCTATTGTACCCTTCAGGATTTTGGAAAAATGGCTGTTCGTGCTTCAGATGGGAACAGTGCGTCCTTCTAAATTCTGTAACTTAAGTGCTTTTAAAAATTGCCAAAGCCAGAATCACCAATCCATTGGTGCGTCACATTTGAGCATTAGTGATCCAGATAGGCATAGCAATAGCAATTAGGCTTACATACCACTTCACAGCACTCTCTGGGCAGTTCACAATGTGGAAAAATAATTTGCATTTAATGCTTAAGGCATTAATTAAGATAACAATTAATGATTAAGATAACAATAGCACTTAAACTTACATGCCACTTATATGCCACTTCACAGTGTTGTACGGCCCTGTCTAAGTGGTTTACAGTCAGCACATTGCCCCCAACAATCTGGGTCCTCATTATACCAACCTCGGAAGGATGGGAAGCTGAGCCAATCTTGAGCCTTGTCAGGATTGAACTTAAGGCTGTGGGCAGAGTTTGCCTGCAATGCTGCATTTTAACCACTCCAGAGCTCTTTCAAAGCATCCATTCACAGCTATCAAAAATGCAATAAATGTGTGGCCAAACTCTTATAAAATTGCTGGCATTGTCTATTTTTTATTTATGAAATGTTTATGCCACTCATCCCCCCCATAAGGCAACTCTGGGTGGCTTATAGATTATAAAAAGGCAAATAGCTAAATAATTAAATCTTAAAACTGTGCAATTTGAAATTTGTTTCTTAGAGAAGTCACCAAATGTTGACATAGTTGAATGAAACTTCCACGTCTCAAGAAATAATATAGTCTTGCAAGATATGAGGTCATTAAAAAAAAACTGGGACTATGTCATCATACACCTTTCACACAATAGCATCCAATGCCTGAAAGGTTTTTCCAACCCTTAAGCTAAGAATTGGCCTTGTGTAATCTTACATGACATCTTGGTGACTCGGATTTAATTTCTCTTGGATCTGGAACCAATAAGATTCTACCATCATCAGAAACAAGGAATACTATAAGTTAGGGTAGCGCATCCCTCCAGATTCAATGGCATTAAAAGTATGTAAATCTGGAGTGTTTGGAGCTCTCTGAGTTTGGCTGTTTTCTTGCAGACATTTTGTTACCCAACCAGGTAACTTCATCAATGCTAGGTTGAAGTTTGCCTGCAAGAAAAATTCTCTCATTTGCCTGCTTTCTGAAACATTTGATGCCCATGTATGCTACCCACAGAATATCTGTAGCTCAGGGTTGAAATGCAGGGTCCTTGGTGCTCTCTGAGCTTGACTGTTTTCTTGCAGAATTTTATTACCCAACTAGATAACATCATCAGTACAAGGGTAATAAAACTTCTGCAAGAAAGACCCTGCATTTGCATGAGCTACAAGTATTCTTTTCTATTGGTACTCAAATGTGTTGCACAAACCCGAAAAAGATACAGCTGCTCTAATGAACTGCATCCATATGCTTGCACACACCTTTTTCTCCATGACTCCCTTAATTCACCTCTGTCTATTCAACTCAAGAAGCTGCCTCTACAGTCAAACCCAATCAGAACAGACTACTGTACCTTGTCTTCATCATAGAGGGATGGGTGTCCTGATTCTGGAAAGGTGGGGCTCGGAGGTGGAGAGTCGCAAAAGCATCCCATAATCTCGTCAAAAAGTCTGAAGCAGGGCATAAGCAAAATTTGAGCCATCATCTCAACATCAAACAACAATCCAACACTTTAAAATATTCCCAGCATTCTATTTCATTGTCTCAAACTTTATCCCACCCATGTCTTCTGGTTTCTCTGGTCCACAATATCCTGCAAGATTTCTGAAGTCAAGGCACAAAATATCGAAAGGTGTAAAAAGTAGGAAGGCAAAAGAGTATCGTTGGTACAGGACAAAGTTGCTTACTCTTACAAGCGTTTCTCCATCTTGGTGGCTTTAAGAAGGACTTCAACTCCCAGAATTCCTCAGCCAGCATTGCTGACTGGAGAATTCTGGAAGTTGAAGTCCACACATCCTAAAATCTCCAAGGTTGAGAAAAACACTGAACTATGTGACAACAAACTGCATAAGCTGGTCCCTTCCCTTACACAGATGAAGCAGACAACTCCAAAGTGAAATCCCAAGGTGCTTTTTCAAAAGGTAAATTGGACTTTCTTGGTTTTTGCTTGAAGACATTTCACTTCTGATCCAAGAAGCTTCTTCACTTTTTCATGAACTGGATGAGAAGCGAAACATCTTCAGAAAAAAAGCTAAGAAAGTCCAGTTGCCTTTTGAAAAAGCACCTTTGGGACAACCATGACCTGGATGACTGAGAATCTTCATAGACCAGAAGTGTCAAACTGGTGGCCCGCAAGATGTGTCACGCGTCCACTCCAGCTCCGTGAAGAGGAAAAAACATCGCGAAACCTCATGCGATGGCAATGGGACGCCACGAGTTTGACACCCATGCCACAGACATTCGAAGTTAAACATCTCTTTCATAAGATGTTCAACTGAGCTTTGCCCCTAGATCCCTTCACCCTTATGCAATTTTTTTCCTCATACCCTTTCCATCCTGCCTTCAAATTACCCTTTTTGATACATAGCTTAACTTGGGGGTTTGTGCATCATAGAAGGAGAAGAATTCAGAAAGAAGAAGAGGAGGAGGGGGAGGAAGAGAGGAGGAGAAAAAAGAAGAAGAGGAGGAGGAGGAGGAAGGAGGAGAAGGAGAAAAAAGAAGAGGAGGAGGAAGAGGAAGGAGGAGAAAAAAGATAAGAGGAGGAGGAGGAGGAAGGAGGAAGAGGAGAAGGAGAAAAAAGAGAAGAAGAGGAGGAGGAGGAAGAAGCAGGAGGAA